AGAATATTTTCAAAGCTGGATCTCTCTAAAGTGTTTTTACAAATTCAGATTGAAAATGAAAGTTCAGAATTAATGACCAAAAATACGCACAGAGGATTATATAAGTTTAACTGACATCCTTTTGGTATAAAAGTGGCACCAGCTATTTTTCAATAAGTTATGGATACCACACTTCTGGATTGCAATTTCGCAGTGGCATATCTAGACAACATTTTAATCAAAAGTGTATCTAAAGAACATTCTGATCATGTGAAAACAATTTTGGAAAAACCAAGAGAGTACAGATTTTAAGGTCAATGAAGAAAAATGCAAATTGTTTTTGCCGAAAATACTTTGGTCAAATCTTACTTATTATAAAACGCAGATTGTGTGTGTGTTTGTGTGTCTGTTCGTTTATATATATGATTGTATTTCCTACATTTTTCAACCGATTTCAACAAAACTTCACAGGACTATGTAAAATTACCCGGCAGTGGTTCTGACAGCGCCAAAAATCTGAAAAACACCATTGTTTTTGCATGAAATCAATTTCAAAGCACGGGTAAAATTATCGCACCCGGCCGGAAGTTACTGCCGGCTACTCAAACGTCTGAAAACAGAACGAATGCCGTTAACTTCAATTTTTTTTTCAGAGAACGATACACAAAAAGTAAAACAATTGAAACATAAACATACACAAGTCCTCGTAACTAAAAATAATAACCAGAAACTACTTTAAATACGCATGGTGCCCAAATGAAATCCATGTGTACATTCAAAATGGGAAAGTTAATTTTTAGTCATCAACCAAAAGATATTGCCAACCGACTACGATGCTAATCGGAGCCGACATAAACACAGCCGATTTCTTCCACCAAGTAACTTGGCTCCCCCTCTCACCTTCACGACCCTCCTGAAAAATAAACCTCCACATCCCAAGTGTTAATAAAAGCAAAGTATGTCAGATTTATAAAGATTTCCTATTTGTCCTTTTATCCTCTTGCATCATTCTATTTGCTTATTAATATATATATATTTGATATTATATATATATATATATATATTAACAGATGCAAACCATGCCTGGAAGAAAAAATTAAAATAATTAAGTACAAAAACACAAGCCAGTTATTGAACCAGAGAAATGAAATTATACTTAAATGTCATCATAAAAATAAGTTTATATAGTCTTAAAAATAGACATTTATTTTGCATCAAACACTGAAAATTATAATTTTCAACAGGTTTGCACCAAAATTTACATGCACATGCTCCAAGTTAGTGGGAAGGCCAAGATTGACATTGCATTTCCCAACTCCCATCGTTAGTGGAAATAATTGATTTTCTCATGCTTCTATGGCAGTTTTCATGTAGTTTGCGGCCATTTTCTACTGGCCAGAGTGAGAGCCTATAGCTGGCTGCCACAAATAGGCAGGAAGATTCTATTGGCCAGCATGAGAGCCAACAGCTGACTGACATGAATGTTAACTAGCATGCTAGCAAAAAAAAATCAATAGCTGCATTCGTCAAAAGTGGGAAAAATTTAAATCTGCATGGCACTTTACTCCAATTGGCTCATTCGCTTGCTTAAACTCAATGTTGATTCTGATTCCGCAGAACTGGGTTGGGTGTGAAAAAGTATTTGTTGTTAACATTCTTTTTTCATTCGGTTCTTCCAGTTACGAGTCCTTTTTTTTTTTAAAGCTGATTGTTTTTTGTGTTCATTTTGTTTAGTTCTTTTTTCATAACAAATTTAATGTTTAGTATAGAGCTTAGAAAAAATTCGCAGTGTGAGATAGGCAAGAAGTAAAACAAATGTAAATAAAACAATTGTAACTTAAAAAATACACAAACCAATACACATAAGAAAAATATAAATAAATTGTATGAAATTAACATACAATTTACCATGCTTTTCCTGTTATTTGTGTATGTTTTATTTCCTGTCAAGTATAGTTTTTATCTCTGATGCTATGATGTGAGTAAATCCCACACATCACTTAGTGTTCTTACTCCATATTTTACCATTACTTACAAAGTTTTAAGAATATTTTAGAGTGTTCTTAAACAAAAAAAATTTTGAAAATATAATGATATCATTAATTCATTACACTATTTACATTGTTTAGAATGTTGTCCTCATATTTATTGTCACATTCATGATGTTTTGGCCATTGTACACTCCAGCCTTCTTCAGGTGATATATGTTGGAATTTCAAACTGAACCCTTTATTTTGTCCACTGGAATAGATTATTTTAGTTTCATGTGACATACCTTTTCTAGATATCTAAGTTTCAGTTATTTCCCTTCCTAGGTCAAGTCACTGGATTACCTCAACCAATGCTTTTATCCACTGGGCCATGTGTCCTTGGGGAAATGGCATGTGGATCTAGAACAAGTAGAAAAATGCAAATAGTGTAAATAGTTATAATATCTCATCTTAGAAATATAGACAGATTTTTAATTCTGTTTATAAATAGTTATTGCAAAATAACATCCTATCTGAGGTTAAAAGAATTCAGGAAGAGCTTGTAATATTAGTAGTATTAGTCATTGTTTACAAATTTGCACTTATCTCCCAAGAGCACACAACCAAATTTAAGTTTTTTGGGTGTATATATATTGTCATCCACAGACAGACTGTTTCACAGCTTATGAGTGTAGCTAGAAATTCGATTGCTTCAAGCCAGGATCAAAACCTGACTGATTCGGCAACAGGCAGAAATATATATGTAAAATGACAATTGGAAAATATTTCTTAGTCATTGAATTTTTTGAGAAATTTAACATATATATATATTGCAAGTAAGCTCTGGACTCTACAGTCACAAGAGATTCTCAAAATGGTGGCCTTTAACTTCCAGACATTAATTAGTATGGTGAACTACTGCTGGGGTAACATTATTCAAAGTGTACAGTTGGATAGCTCCACATGCATTTTCAATTTCTTGTCTAAGTGCCACCAATGTAGTCAGTTTTCTGCGACACACATCCTTTAGGGTCCCCTATTGTTAAATGTCTGCAGGTGTTAAATCAGAAGAATGTGGTGGGAACTCAACTGCACCTCTCTGTCCTAGCAAATTCTTATTCAGATAAGCTTGCACGTCTTGCTGGTACTGTGGTGGTGCACCATATTGTTGAAAGAAAAATTCATCATTTCTGTAAAGTTCATGTATGGCAGTCTTATCACAATTTGATATAACTACAAAAGACAAGTCTTTCCTTTTCTGAAGTGAGCATACACTTTTTTGGTGGAATCTGTGTGTGTGTATATATTTATATATATATATATATATATTACGATAAACGTGCAATCAATTTACAAATTCATGAATTATTCACACAAAAACAAAAGCAAAGGTTAATGATTTAATTGGCGAAATCCATCATCGCAAACAATTCAAATAATATACAAAAACCTCGAATCCGTTATGAATGAATTGATCCTTGTTTCCATAAATTTCTGTCAGATTAGTTCTTATTTTTACTACAAGCTTTTTCGTCTGTTCCTACAATATAGTTCATGCCACTTTGACAGAAAATTTACCAGTAAAAAAATTCATTCATCACCATATTTATATGAACGCACAATTTTAAAAATTTAAAATCAAACTCAGCGTTGCTACTGCGGCCCCAAAATCAATAACTCATTTTCAATAGCATTTTTCGGATACAACAATACATATATTTTCGTTGTCCTCTTATTACTAAGAGAAAAAACAAGAACAACATCTATTCTATACCTGAAGATGTCTTATGGAAACAAGGATCAATTCATTCATAACGGATTCGGAGGTTTTTGTATATTATTTGAATTGTTTATGATGATGGATTTTCGCCAATTAAATCATTAACCTTTGCTTTTGTTTTGTGTGAATAATTCATGAATATATATATATATATATATATATATATATTACAACCAACTTAAAAGCCACCCTATTGGGTGGCATTTAAGCTAGCTCCTCTGTAGAGCTATTAATTGAGTTTTCATCACAACAGGTAAGGAGGAGTAGATGAAATAGGCAACAATAAACTACAGAAGAACTCAAAATTGATCACTGAATTTAAGTATTGCATTAATATTTAAGCTTGTCTTTTAAAAGTTCAACAATTGTTTTTTTGCTACTTAATTTAAAGACAATTTGATGTACGTAGGTTCTTACTTTCCGTACAAACAATTATTTTTATTTCATGGGTAACACTTTCAATGGATTTTGCAATTAATTTTGATTATTATTTTTTTTTTTTTTTTAAAAGCATTTCAGCCCAAGCAAGGTGGGAAGCCAATAGCACGCAAGGGGTTACATAGGATTTGGAGTGAGAGCAGATAGGAGTCATAGAGGAAAGGATGAGGAGAAGGATAGTGGATAGATCAAAGCAACTGGAGATGTCGATTGACAATACATTTGAATAGTTGTAGATTATAGCTATCGGGGAAACAGGAACAGGGAAGGGAGTTCCACAGGTGGGAGGTGCGAGATATGAAGCTATTGGAGTAGAAGAGATGGCTACATTTAACAGTTTCAACAGTGAAAGGGTGAGAGTGGGATGCCAGTCTCATAAGATGCTTGAATTCATGAAGTATAGATTATTCCCAAGGTATAAAAATTGTTATCGTACAAAAAAATTTATTAAAAAAAAAAAAAAAAAATCACAGTAATAAAAACTTGGTAAACCAAAATTTCAGGATTGCAGGTTCAGATCTGACCTGGAATGTTTTAAATTTACTCATGGTGTTGACCCAATTCCAAAATGATATGAGCTTCTAGGAGTAAAGTGGAAAAGTGTGACGCATTGACACACTGACATTTGCATTTACTATATAGATATATATTCTCCCCTTCACATGAACATTAGGTTGAATGGCTACATACATTAAAATGTTTTTTATTTGCAATCCAAGTGAATTAGCAGTTTCAATTCCTACCAATGGTTGCTGCTTAACTTTCAGCATGATTTAACTCTAAACACACAATATAAATACTGATAAAGATATATTTCATATATGTGGGCTTACCTGACAAATTCCAGCAATTCCAGGAACTTTACAATTGCTGTGATAAAAAAATATTTTATTCCCTACTTTCATTTGGTCTCGCATGAAGTTTCTAGCCTGAAATGAAAATAATTATTCAAGGTGAATTATTAAAAAAAAAAAAAAAAAAAAAAATGTGCATTTATCTGTGGAAGGGGAGGGAAAAAGGAAGTCAAATCATATTTTTCATATTTTTTTAATGTTAAATTTCACCTAATACAAGGCTCAAAAGCCACTTAAGGAAGAGGATTCCAGTCAAAGTGTTAATGCTGAATGATGTGTTATATGAATGAAAAAAAGGTAGTAGAAAGAGAATCTAAAGAGGATATGTAACAATTGATCTTTGACTTTAAGAGATTAAGACAGAAGTATCCAGAGAAGCACCTACATGTAAGTCTATTCCAACAAAATAGCAGTTCTTGGGAAAAAACAGTCTCAGCGGGATTTTTTTTACATTTTGGAGACAGGGGAAATGAGGTCAATTTGACTTTATGGAAGTGGCATGACGTATCATGTAAAGTTCTGAATGGGTGGAGCTAAAGTGTGTTGCTATGAAAATAGCAATAGGTTTGGAATGTTACATCTTTTGAAAAAAAAAAAAAAAAAAAAAAGTTACAGAGTGGAAAATAAGTCAGCCCTTACAATTTTTTTGATTTGTTTTTTATGGCTCATCAACCCTTTGTGGGTTATTTAAGGTTGAAACAAATTTTGGATTGTAAAAATAATTCTATTTTGGGAGAGAATATTGCATTAACAATTTTTTCAAGAATCCCATCATAAATGTGTTTGTCCCTTCCTTTGTATGACCATTATGCCCCCTGCGAATACCCCATAAATAATGGACTATTCCGTTTTGATTGCGTGGAAAGAGGGGAAAAGACACTACTTGGTTTCAGTCAAAAAAAATGAAAAAAATGAAAGAAAGAACAGAGGAAGATAAACAATGTCTCTTGCAGTGATTAAATTGATAAACATTTAAATGTCTCTTGCCAATACCCAATTCCGTTTTGATTGCATGGAAAATTAAAACACATATCAGAGATGTTACTTGGTTTCAGTGAAAGAAAGGAGAGAAGATAGCCATGTTTGACATCTGCTTCATTGAAATGGAAAAAGTTGTCAATTTCAAAAATCTTTTTATTTGTACCCCCTTACTTCTTAAAATAATGACTGGCTTTCATATTTATGATTGTTATTGGAATATTTTGTTAAAGTTGTTAAGCTCAAATATTTAACGATGCGATAGGGGAATTTCTACAGATATTTTATTCTTGTAGAACTTGCTATGAGCTTACAGAATCATTAACTTAAGAATTAAGATTCCTCAGAATATTCAAATGAGAAAATTGTGAAATTTTCATGTTTTTCTAGAAACAATAATTTTTCCAGATACAAGCCATACTATTTAACCCGTAGCTAGGGAGAGAAGATGGATTCATACCTTTACCAAGGATAGTTGTGCATAAGTGAAAGTAACGAACTCGACTGGAATTCAAATTTGGCTCAGCTCTTTGGTTCCACATTCTGAGTTACTATTATACACCCACATACGTGCCTATTCCATACAAAACGATATAAATGATTTTGAACTTTCTCAAGGCTGGAAAGTGAGGACTGAGCAGCTCCAGAAAGGTGTGGTAGCAATACTTCGTTGTGACTACTCAAGGTCAGATTTTATTATGCAAGTCAATGTTTTCCCCGAATAAAATTGTTACTAATTTTAGGAAATCTTTCAGGATATATTTTTTAATCATTTCAACCCAAGCCAAGGCCATTGTAGGTGGCAGAGAAGCAAGAAACTGGAAGAGATTTCCACAAATGAAAAGTGCAAGAAAAGAAACTATTAGAATAGAACTTACAGTTACATCTAGCTAATTTAACAGTAAACAGTGAGACCTAATTGCCAATCTAGTAATACACTTAAATTCACATGGTCAAGATACTAAGGAGAAAAACTCATTCAAACAGTTGCCATGAAAATATTTGCAGAAAAGATAGAGAAACCACGTCACAGTGGTGGAAAAATCAAGATGCCTGTTCAGGACCAATAATATTACAGACCCTTCTTTGGATTTTGGCAAGAGTCTCAAGATATATCGCAGGAGCACGAAATAATATTCAATGTAATGATGAATGGTAGATTTATAAAAGCGTAAGATGGATTTTCATGAGAAAAACTGTCTGGTATGGCATGGTAAACCAAATTTCCTAGTAGCAGACAATGAAATTAATTCCATATAATTATTCTACTTTATGCCAGTGAAAAAACATGAGACCGTGTTACTCTCCTGGAGGTTAGCACCAGCGATGCTGATGGAAGGCAGAAAGGAATCTTATGACTAAAATGATAGAAGGATTGTTTTGAAGGTATTAAAATTTACGTTATTTCTTGCCCCAGTTAACAACTGATTGGAGGTCATTTTAGAGATCAGGTGCCAGTTTTACTTTACAGGAGTAAATAGTTGTGACATAAGAATAAATATTGAGTTGGGAACTGGTAACGATCGGAAAGTCATGGATGATGTTAAGAAACAAAGTAGGACCAAGGATAGAGCCCTGGGGGGGGGATCCTCACATTAACGTGGAAGGATCTAGAAGAGTGGCTATTCAATACACCTTTCATTACATGATTTGTTAAGTAGGATAGAATCAAATCAAATATTTGTCCCGAAATAGCATAGCATGCCAAACCTTGCCAAATTCTTACGAAATTTCATTAGAAACAAGGAGTACTGAACTGTTACGTAATATATATATCAGTGAATGTGGGATGATCTTAAAGGTGAAAAGACTTGAAGCAATAAAAAAATGTGGTTTTACAGAAGGATGCTGTGAATACCATGGACTGAATATGTGAAAAAAATGGAAACAAAAAGAACACTTATACATTGAATCAGAAAAGAGAGAGTTGAAATTTCTAGGGCATATAACAAGGAAAGAGAGCTTGGAAAATTTGATACTCACAGGACAAACTGAAGAGGGACTGAGAGGAAAACAAGGCATAACCTACCTAGCAGAACAAGATTTATGAGAGATAATAAAAAGACAAAATTTATTAAGAACTACAAAGTGCTGAAACTTGTGGAAAGCCATGATCGTCTCCATCTTGAAGGGACATGGCACATGAGAGACAATCTGTTGTTGCTAGAAATATTTGTAATAATTTATTTTTCTTAGTGTGACATTTTATTATACAACACAAAGCTTGTGTATCATATTCTAAATAAAAGGCAGATAATATTAAAACTTTTTAACATGATTTTTTATTTTCAAATAAGTAATATGATGATAGCTCTTGTTAAAAAAACAAAAGAAACCCACAAAATAACAAGAAACCAAAATTCAATAACATGGCCACAAGGTGTTGGCCATGTTTGGAAATTAAGAAATTATCTACTTTCAGCAACTTTTACACCATCTCCAGCAGCAATTACCAGTTATTCTAATAGCACAGGGTGTGATAGAAATATGTCCCACATAATGGTAAGACATTAACAAGATGAAGACACTATTGCTGCTAATGTCTTACTATTATGTGGGAGGTATTTCCCTGTGTAACAAAAAATAATCTTTGAAAATGGCTAAGAGTTTAGTTGAAACCAACAAACTTTTGAACAATTTTTTTACATTCATTAAGCCCAGAAAAGAAGAGACTTCTACATTAACAAGAAAACAGTAAAAAACTAAACAAAAGTACCTTGTCAAACTTGTCAATGAAACTTGTATCAAACAGGGTTTGCTGGCCAAATACACAACTATGTTATGAACAAAGGAATTTTACTTCATCTGTTCTTTCTCTCATTTGGAGATCATATATAATATTTTTTCTTTGTGAGTGTAGCATTTATAAAAATGAAATTATTAATAAATTTAATCACAATTTCGATTTTATAAATGCTACTCATAAAAAAGAAAATAATTCACTCAAAAGGAAAATCCTCGAGCATGACACCATTGAATATTCTCCAAATATTAATCTTCAACCAGGTTTTTTTCCCTCAATATCACTTTTCCTAACGGAATCACTACTCTCCCAAGCCAATGTACATAATAAATATATCAAGAAATCAAAAGAAAATGGTTTAATCCACCAACACAATAATACAAACAATATTTCTACATTTGAAATATTCTTTAAATAAATTGGTGTAATTTTTCACTTGACCATATGAATATACAATAGCATTTCTAAATTCTTCTAGTTGCTAATGACATTTTGTTTGTTGTTTATAGATATTATGTTTCAATAAATTCATTTTGATTTTTTGTCTTGAAAATGTCCACATTGACAAAACACATTGGCTAAAACTAGTTTTCCTATTGTCTTTTTTCCTTCAGACATATATATATATATATATATATATATATATATATATATAAAATGTAATGTGTCACACAAAAACTTCCTACTTTTGTTTTTCCCTAAAAATCTCTCTCTCTCTCTATATGTGTGTGTGTGTGCATTAAATTTCTCAGAATAAATCTGTGGAGAAGACAAATTGAATAAAATAGACAATTGTGAATAGTACTTAATCTTTGCTGATACATTTCATTACTTGACTTGATGATAAACAAAAGCAAAATGTTGTGTATTTACTTAGCCAAAAAAAAAACAAAAAAAAACACATTACTATTACCCAAAAAGAGCGTCTTTTTTGAATTTCATGTAACTACAAAACATTTCATTTTTGTTTATCATCACTTGACTTGAATGACAAAATGTGTTGGTAAGAACTAAGTACTATTTTTTGTAAGAACTAAGTACTATTTTCTGATTATCATATAAAGTGTCACAATGGAACATGCAATGTACCAAGATAAAAAAATGGTATTTTGCATATTCCATTGCAACAGTTTATAATAAATATTTATTGCTCTACTACGTGTATTGAGCCCATTTTTTTAAAATTAATGCTATGAATTTTTGAATTTATATTCTTTTTATTCTTTTATATTTGTGTGTGCATATATATATCTTGACATGGGTGATAACTTTAGTATAAATCTATTTTTACCAGCCTGTGAATTTGAGAGTTTTAAATTAAGGCAATTTATTTTTACTAGAAATATTTGCAATAACTTATTTGGTAGTGTTAGATTTTATGCCACATGAAGCTTGTTTATCATACTCTAAATAAAAGGTGTAAATTTTTTTTACCATGTATTTTTTGTAATTTTAAATCTGTAAAGATTGACATGGTGCATAATAAAGATAGAAATACAAAAGAAAAAAAAAATATTGTAAAGTTAGTGAGTAATGGGAACACAATGTAGAAAAAACAAAAATAAACAAAAAAACAACAAAACAAACCTTAGCAAGGTAAGTAAAATAAAAAAAAAAAAAATTGCTATTAACAAATGTCACGAAAATACTAGCTTGGTTTAGTTTATGACATTTTTCAGTTATTTAAGGTCATGGAAAGTGATTTTGGAAAATTTAAAAGGGCAATACGCAAGAAAAGTGGATTGACCAGAAAGAAAATATCTGAAGAAACTGAAGCTGCAGATGTAAACAGAGAGAGAGAAAAAAAATTTAGAATATTAAAAACAAGGCACGAATGCAACAACCATCTTTAAGAATAGAAATCTGTAAATTAGGTGGAAAAGTAGATGAAAACTGATTTCTTTTGACTGATGAATGTAGACCTGCATTGGATGGACCTGATGACTTGTCTAGATATTAGGTCCTTCAATCAACATGATAAGGAAGACAAGTTGGGGAGATGGAGTAATATTTAGGGCTGGTGTTGATGTTAGGCAATAATATTATAGGTCCCTTCACAATTTATGCTGATAGCATGATAAATACAAAGAATTATTGTAAGTTCTTGAATGTTTTTTTGAGTAGTATAGGTCATAACAAAAATGTTTTAAACAAAAGAGTATATTCCTACAAAATAAAGCTCCTTTACATTGTACAAAGCTGACTAGACTATCGCTTATCTCACAAAAAAAAAGAAAAAAAAGATAAATTAATGGAGTAACCTCCAGCCTCTCCAGTTATTATTCCAATAGAAAACTTATGGTTCATCATTTTTAATAAAGACACACATCATAACTTGAAACCTACTTTATATATAGTATTAGAGATCGTGATATTTTTTTTTCAATTTTTGATATATAAAAATTGCCATGGATTGAAAGAAAGATTTAACTTCAAAAGAGAAGCAAGGTATTGTAAACTTATCAAGTGATTGTAACACAAAGTTGGAAATAGGAAGAAAGTTGAGTAGAGATCATAGAAAGAAATTGAAAAACATTGACAAGAAGAAGAATAAATGAATTGGCTTGAAGAATACCAGTGAAAGAGATTTGAGTAAAACTAAAAGAAGACAAGTGGATTAACTGGTAAGATTTGAAGAAGCTGACATTGCAAACTTAGGTAGAGAGAAAAGATGCAGATTATTATGAACATTGGTTAAAGACAGGAAAGCAACCAAACTACCACCTTTAAGTAAACATCACAAAGAGAAATATATAAATTAGGTGGAAAAGTACATGGAAACTGATTTCTTTTGACTGATGAATGTAGAACTACATTGGATCAACCTGAATGCTGAATTAGATATTGTGTCTTTCAATCAACATGACTTAAGAGACAAGTGTGATATGCAAGAAGCTCATTGTACTAAGGAATTAGTACATTGCATATAGAAAAAAAAAATTCTGGTGACCATTTAAATAAATTAAAACTATAGACATAAAAAACAAATACATGACCAGTTCAGATATAAAATCTTTATATATAAATGTTCCTGTAAAGAAATGCCTAAATTTACTTAAAACATACCTAATAAAAATAAAATTACCAATTCCTATAAATAATAGCATAAAATTGTGCCATTTAAGGCAGAACCTGCAAAGTTATTGATCCTGACTTTGCATCTCAGCTTCAGTCACTTTCCCCACCACCATAACATAGCTTCCCTGTGACCTTTCTATAAATATTTTTATGGTAATTGTTCTGATGTGTTTTCCTTTTCGGTACCTAGACTTTATGAATTTAATTGCAGTATTAGAATGGCAGCTATGTCTCATTGAAATGGCTAGGTGTAACTGAAAGTTACATGCTAACAGTTTCTTCTATCGCATTTCTTGATTGTGGAACTTTCTTATGGCTTTTTGCTTTCCAGCCAACTTTGATCTTCAAAAATTTAAATGCAATCTCAGTTGTTATCTTCTGTCTTTTTAATTCTTGTTCTTTTGTTTTCTCTCCTTAATAGTTTATTTTTCTCATATTTTTTAACACCCAGTAACCCTTCTGTCTTAGTGGCTTTATTACCTTGGTTATCATGAAATGATTAAGAAAAATAAATAATAATAGAATCATGTTCTGAAATAGTCTCCCCAGATTGAAGTTTTTTTTAAATTTAAAAAAAAAACAAAAAAAAAAAAAAAAAAAAAAAAAAAAAAAAAAAAAAAAAAAAAACAATTCCAGTCAGGTTTGTTATATTCACTTATGTTCAAATACACTTGGGAAAGATATGAATCCATCTCTTCTTCCCCCAGCTACTGATTAATTAGTAGGATTTGTGTCAATAAATCATTATCTCCCAAAAATCTTTACATTTTAAAAATATTTTCTGGCTTTAAATAACATGCAAAAGTTTGATAAGCCATAAAAAGCAAATCAATTAATGAAAGTAGAAAGTATATATACAGTTTTTTTCAACCATGATGCTTCTAATCCCACATCATATAATTGAAAGTATCATCAGTGGTGGATTGGGTTTAAAAATATTAGTTGCCAGGAGACAGAGGGGCCCACCCACAACTATAATGCTATTATTTAATTTTTATAACAAATAAATAAAATTAAAAAAAAATAAATATAAAAACAAAAAAAAAACATACAAAAAAAAAATGGTACAATTAAAATTTTTGTGGAAAAAATGCGTATTTCTTAATAATTACAGTTACATGTATATATTACTGGCAGTAGATGCTAAATGTAAATATAGAATGTGGTAATTGAATTATTTATTTTAAGTGATTGGTTGATAATTTTAAATAATTTACTTCACAATTTACCTATTAACAGATAGTTCAAAAGATCATTTCATGCATTCCACTATATTAAGAAAGAATAATCATTTGTGTTCACTAGATGATTGTTCGTTTCTGAAACCAATTCATCTAACAATTCCTTTTCAATGGATGGCAATGTGCATGATTCCAAATTCTCCTTGGATAGCAAATTTCATAACCTTGTCTTTATGATGTTTAACTTTGAAAATGTCCTCTCACATTGGACGTGAGTAACTGATAGTGTGCAGATGACTTTATAAAGTTCTTTTTGCTTTTATTACTGAAACAGTTGTCTGTGTTTGGTTCTTAATGACATTTTAATTTGATATAAGAGACCATTTGCCACTGGGCAAGCTGACACCCTGGCCAGTCTGCCACTGATCTAATGATTATCTAAATAGTAAATGCATCTGTCTTAATTTTACTCTGTAAAATGCTTGAAATATATTATCATACTACTCTGTGTCTTTGTGAATAGAGTAAATATAATGGCTGTAGATACGAAATGTAAATACAGAATGTTATAATTTAATTTTTTATTTATACTTAATTTTAAGTAAATGGTTGATATTTTTAAATAGTTTACTACACAATTTCCACATTAATAGTCAGTTCAAAAGAACAATAGAGCATTGCATGCAGTTCACTATATTATGAGCAATCGTTTGTGTTCACGAGGTGATTGTCTAAATCTACCAATAATTGCTTCTGCATTCATCTAAAAATTCCTTTTCAATGGATAGCAACATACACAATTCCAAATTCTTCTCAGATAATGAATTTCTTAACCTTGTCTTTATGATTTTTAGCTTTGAAAATGTCCTCTCACATTGAACTGATGACAAGTACAGATGACTTTATAAAGTTCCTTATTCTTTTTTGTTTCTTATTATGTAAACAGTTGTCCGTTTTGTTTCCTTATTGCATTTTTATTTGATATAGGGAGCCGCTTGGCATTTGGCCTACGTAAACATCATGTTGAAACACTGGTTCTCATTTGATCACCAAAGTTAAGAAACATTAAACTTGGTCAGTACCTAGATGGGTGACCACTGGGGAATACCAGATGATGTAAGCTTGGATATGCAGGGGGTGTAATGGATAATGGCTCAGAATTGTTAATTGGAGTGCTGAGTTCCAATTCCTTTGAGTTTGTTATATTCACTAATGTGCAGATACACTTGGGAAAGGTATGAACCCACCTCTTCTCCATCCCAGCTGTTGGTTAATTAGTAAAACTTGTATCACTAAGTCATTATTAAAAAAAAAAAAAAAAAAAAAAAATCTTACAATCTAAAAATAGTTTCTGGCTTTAAATAGCCTGCAAGTGGCTGATAAGGTATAAAAAATGAATCAAACAAACAATCCAAACCTACCTGGTAATTTCGAACTCCATCCCAACAGTCAGTTTGATTTGAACATTTCTGCAAGTCTTCAATGCTAAACTTAAAAAAAAAATCTAAAATAAAAATCTACATATAATAGATGGCTTAACCATAAAAAAACATCAATAAAATTTCATTTAATTTAGAACAAATATACAAAATGCATTTATACTATTGTTATAGTGGAACACACCTGTTCTATAGTTAATAGACTCTCCCATCTATAATATGTAGGAGTAGTAAGAGTGAGTGAGTCACTCAGTCAGTCAATGCCGGACGACCGTTAGTCGAATACTAAAGTATCAGCACCCACAACTAGATTACTCTGCGTTATACATATTATATCAAGTTCCTAACGTTTTGTACGTCGAACCTATTTTAGGACTGACTTAATACAAATACAAGCCTCCATTGTGAAATCACTCCACAACAATTATTTACATCATTCAGGCTGTTGTCCTCATCTTTATTGCCATATTGATGACATTTCGAGCACACCACATGACCCAGTGGATAAAAGCATTGCTTGTGTAATACAAAAGTGACTGGACCCAAAGAGTTGTGAGTTCAATACTTGGCAAAAGCAGGGGGAATAAAAACTTAAATTGTGTTACTAAAGAGAATTAACTGAAACTGACATATCCAAAAAAGGCATGGCACATGGAATTAGAATAATCTACCAACATGGACTAAATAAAAGGGTTGATTTGAAATTCCAGTGTATATCACCTGAAGAAGGCCGGAGTGTATAACAGCGAAAACATTGTGAATATGGCAATAAAGATGAGGACAACAGTCCAAACAATGTAAATAATTACAATACCTCATCTGAGAAATGTAGACAGATACTAAATGCATTTCATGAGTATGAAAAAAAAAACCCCGAAAAAAACAAAACAAAAACATTCTAAATTGATGCAGGAGTTGAAAATCCTAACATGGCAGCCACTAACACATGAAAATATATATATATATATATATATATATATATAAAATAGTATGAAAATATGAAAATATATATATATATAAAATAGCATGAAAATATATAAAATATATATATATATATATATGAAAATATATATATATATAAAAATGAAAATATATATATAGCAGTTAGCTCTTTATGGATCTACCTTTTTTTTTCTAATTTATATTAAAAAGACCTACTTGAATTATCCTTTCCACTTATGGATTTGATATTATATATATATATATATATATATATATATATATATATATATATGTGTGTGTGTGTGTGTGGGGGGGGTTACAAGAATCAACACTATAGTTTTAACCCAAATATTAGTGTTGGTACTTATATCCATACTATCTATAAATGCCTTATCTTCAATATTGTACACTGCTACCCTTATAAATAAAAGGGGACACAGATACATAAAAATAATTTGCGAGTTCATTCCTTGCACAGAGTCACACAAATTTAGACTTAGTGAAAACAGGGCAATAAAGATAAGCAAGCATTTTATATAGAAACAAGACAAGCTAGCTATAGACAAAGGGTTCAGTTTGAAATTCCTTGAAAAAGGCTGGATGACACAGTATGCTTATACTGACTCGGCCATGATGACTTGTGACTATGTGCTAGCACAAGTATATAGTATAACACTTAATAAAACAAACGTTAAAAATGCAAAAAGAATCACCTTCATGTCAACTCCATTTTCAAATCTTGATTCTGGTTCTGATTTCATCAACCAGTGACTATACGAAACGGACACTTTCTTTGTTGCCTTTTTTGTTGACTCCGTATCTAGATGGCATGAAAAAAGAAAAAAAATATTTGTATTTAGATTTTTAAATAGCTGAAAATTAATTCTAAACAAAATTTGGCAATGTTTAACCTTTGAGCTTGCAAAGAAATGGTGTGTGGAAAGGACAGTTAATTCCTTGATGCTGCTATTACTGTATACAGTTTTGACTCCTTCATCAATGTTTACTGTTTTAAAAGGCAAAATAGTGAATATATTTTGTTCACATTTTCTTGTTTTATAGTTCATTGATATTTTTATAAAAATTATGAATAAATAAAAAAAAAAATTGTTTTCATAGTTATTTATTAAATGGTAAATAATGAATATTGGATTGTATTAGGTTTACATATTTTGATAATTTTGTAATTTTTTATAAATTTTTGAATAAAAAGAATTATTTTTTATAAAAAAAAAATTTATAACATAAATATGTTATAAAATCACTACAAAAATAGCCATTTTGTTTCAACACCCTCAGTGTCTTATCAAGTGATGATGTTGAAGATAAAATAAATGGTTTTAAAAGTTTCAAATTAATTAACGATCCTTCGCTAGGGGAAAACATTGTTACAAAAACTAGAATGACCAATCAAAAACCAAGTATAGAAAGATTCAAAAGCTTGACAACGAAATCATGTTATAATAGCTATTCAGATCTTTAAAATACGGGTAATATTAAAAAGAATTTATTCAAACCAATAATTATTAAATTATATGATAAAATTTGATATTAAAATTAAAAACTGCCAATTTTAAAATCCAAATTTAATCACTATTAAATATAAAAACTATAAAGTTACTATAAAGTTGAAATTACATTAGAACAGACGCTACAATATCCGGCCATTTGACAATACATGTATATATATTTTAATCCAAAGTGTGTGAATGGGGTCTTAAACTCACGCGCAAAACAACAAAAACACAATCAGATTATAATACATAAGCACCCAGACATATTTAGATATATACACACACAAAAAAGCAACGAGACAGGAACATCTCCACAGCCATTTATGAAAAAAGGAAATGTGGAAACCAACACACACACACACACAATTAAAAGTGAATGCACTCTCCATACATATAGACACCGATAAATACATGTACACACATCCACAGACAATCACAATCAGATACCACAACCAATAAATATTTAAGACTGAAAGTATCATTAAACAAATCCTAGCCACTTATTAAAATATAACTTGCTTAGCAAATATACAAAAGATAAAATGGTTAAAATAATATTATTTTAATATATTAAAACGAAAATTCAAAAACCACAAATATCAAT